GTTCTAATTTAACTAATATTCTGGATATATAATTATTTATTCTATTCGTGCGTATGAGGGAATCTAGCCTACTGTGGGAGTACGGCTGACCAAATTTGGTCGAGGTGCGGGTCATAAATTTATTTCCCAACCTCAATGGCCTCGTTTGCAAGAACTGGACGCAAAATTGTGGCAATAGGAAGAAACTATGCCAAACATGCAAAAGAATTGGGGAACGCAGTTCCTGAGAAGCCCTTCTTTTTCTTAAAGCCAACGAGTAGCTATGTTTTTAATGGTGGAAATGTTGAGATTCCGCAGGGAGTCTTGGTTCACCACGAGGGTATTAAAATATGCTTGATACCAATTCTATCGAGAATGACAATAATTTGTAGTTGAGCTTGGTGTGATCATCGGGAAGACGGGAAGAGATATAGTGGCCGCAAATGCCGAGGAGCATATAGCAGGTTACGGTGAGCTGTCTCTGGTTACATAGTTGCAAGCATTGAACAGGTGTTTGTAGCACTTGGAATCGACATGACAGGCCGAAACGTGCAGGACGCGGCCAAAAAGAAAGGGCTTCCTTGGTCCACTGCGAAGGGCTTTGACACATTCACTCCTATTAGGTAAATGTTCAATTTAATGATTTTATCTGATCTGACTCGAGGTAACCAGTGACTTCATCCCAAAGACGTCCATTTCCGACCCAAGTAATTTAAATCTTTGGCTGAAGGTGACTTATTTTTTGGTACTACAATAGGTATAAATCTGATCGTTCTGTCAGATAAATGGACAGTTCAAGCAAAACGGTACTACAGGGGACATGATCTTCCACATTCCTCAGCTTATTGAACATGTTTCCTCAATTATGACATTAGAGGTGGGTCAATAAACTAGTGAAGAAAAGCGTAGTTCTGATTTATTCGTTAGGAGGGTGATCTGTTGCTAACTGGAACTCCAGAAGGCGTAGGCGCCATTCAGGCTGGAGACAAGATCACCGCTGGCTTGCAGTTACCTGATGCTAGCAAAGTGTTAGCAGAATTAGAACT